AATTTTTGGTTATTTATCAATTTCCTTATATTGTTTTGAATTTCTTATAATGATCGATTAACATTATCGATTGATAATCGGAATTCAATAAACGATTGAAAGTAAAATTAAATTATAATGAAAATAATTCATTAAAAACAAGTTATTTGGTTATGCGTACAAAACGAATGTGCATTATGTACATCAATTCCATTATAACGCGGGTTGTGTGTATCGATTTGTTTTAATTTTTATACCATACACCGAAGCCGTTTCGTCGAGGACAATCGCCCGGTTATTTGGCCTTCGAAAAAATCCAATCCAAATATTATATTATTTCACAATATTCTGAATTTATAATTTTATATTTTGAAAAATAATCTTAATAACACTACAGCTGTATTATTATGATTTATCATTTATGTTTTCAATTTTTCTTAAGTTTGGGTAGACTGCAGTGCACTTATACACAAACCGCRCCACTGGTTAAAACGCTCGTAATGTGTAGTTTAARGATTTAAAACCTATTTTATTTTAAATCTTTTTAACGCCATCATATAAACTTAGTAATAACTATGTGGGTTGTTAATACTCTAACGTATTGTAATCGTTGAGCTAGATTTATAATAAAAAGCTAATTTAAAAAAAAAACTATGTGGGTATATTATATTTGTTTGAGCAATTATAAGAATTATATTTTTGATTTTTTTATTTTATTTTTTTTGATTCCAACACTACCTATTATCAACTGAAAATATAACATTTTTAAAATAATGTCGTGTTTAATAGGGGACTGAGATTTCAAATATGTGTTTATAATATGTTTGGTTAAATATAGCTACAACCTGTTGTAATTAAATCACAGAACTCACCGATACTTTAATTTTTGAATTTACAAGACTAAGTTCGTGCCGAAGACCTTCACATAAAACAGTGATGGCAGTTTTAGAAGCGTTGTACATTTTGTGTGCGTAATACGGTGTAATGGAATGACCAACAATACTATATGAACAAAAYGACATACTATTATTAATTATTATTATATAGATACCTATACGGCTATACGATTAAACATAATATATTATATGAATTATCGTTATCAATGTATAATTTATAAGTATAATACACACAAAATATGCATTAATACTATGCGAACAAAACAGCATTCATTTTATTCGATAATTATTAGATTGATCGGCAGGAGCTTGCTCTGCATTTTATTCCATACAATTATTTTATTATTAGGTAATAAACTATATTATAAACAATTACGCAYCATAATATAATAAATTGCACATTTCTTACATAAAACCAATATTGCAAATCTTATGAGTATATAATGACGTTATGTCGTTATAGGTAGTATATGTAATTACATACATATATTATGACGATCATTAGATTATAATGTGAACAAACTATTTTGTTCTCACCATATGTTTATTGTTAAATGCTTGTATTGTATTTAGTATTTACCTGTTAATCTGAACAATGTGCCCGTTAATGTTGTTAGTAGACATCGATCGGAATGCTTCTCTCGAACATACGCATTGCGCCAATACATTKATGCTCATTAAAAAATTCCAATCTTTCAACGTACCGTCTGTTAAGTCCGTTGTAGATTATAGTGATGTACAAAAACATAAAAAAGATGTAAATACAAAAAAAAAAAACATACGTGAGTTCAGCTGTGTATATTTATATAGTAAGCACCAAATAAAGGTAACTAATACATATTATAATATCTAACTTATACAGGGTGTCCCGTGAGGAT